GCCCTTAGGGGCGGAAATGGGGGATGTGCGATGACAAATTTAGACTGATTATCTTTAAAAAAAAAAAAAAAGGCCAAGAAACCCTAAAAACTAAAAGCAAAAATTCCGCTAGAAAACCAAAGGGAATTATTTGATTGTGAAACTGAATGGCGTGAGGCGTAGCCTGGTTGAATGCGGAACTGTATCAAGGGTTCTTCCGACTTTACTGCTTAGAGGATGCCCAGAGGGAAGGAGGCTTTGTATACTGTTCCCCGGTTTCACCTGGCTTTGTTTGGAACAGGGATGGACTGAGTCTGGCAAGGCACCTGAGATGTCTGAAGTTCAGGAGCACTAGTTGGGAGGATCTCTCCTGGAAGGCTTAGGCCCTTGAGATAGCCAGACTCCAAAGGTCCTATTGGCTTATGGCCAAGGGCCCCTTGGCTCACGTAGGGGGCTGCCCAGAGGAGGCTCTCGTTGGTCTGCACCCAAGAGCATGTGAAAGGATGAACTCCTAAGGTGGAGGGCTAGGGGTGTCTGTGACTCCTAGCTTCAAAAGGAATTGGTTAGGAACAGAAGATAAAAGAAAGACAGCTGCCTGGAATTCTAGCCTGAGGCAGGCCCAAGGGGTCAAAGGTCAAAGGGGGACAAGGGGGACTTTCTGAGGCTCCCAGGGGAGTGCCAGCCAGCCAGGCTGTTGTGTAAACTTGGGGCTGGACCTTGAGAACAGGCTGGCAAAAGGGTCTTGCCTGGTCCAGCTCCCTCAGTCTATCCTATCGGCCTGTGGACTAGTGCCCTCACCTCAGTCCACTCTGTCTAGAAATGGAGAACCAGTGCAGCAACGGGGCTGGGAAAACATTCGGCTGCCAGTGGGCATGGGATCACTGCTGATGGGCACAGGACCCCATGGAGAAGGGACAGGATCCATGGTGGAACCAAAGCCGGGCATCAATTTCTCCTTTTAGGTTCAGCATCTGTAAAATCAGGAGGTGGGATTGGCAGCTCAGTGGTTTCTAGACTGGTTCCTGGGCATCCCACCGAGACTGTGATGGGAAGGGAAAGGACAGTGAATAGCATGTGCCCTCCACCTGAGCCTCGTTTTCACCAAAGAAACTGTGACTATCCATTTCAGGTCCTGGATAGTCTCCAAGGTTTTTATTTAGACGAGGGCCCCACAGGGCCTCTCGCGGAGGCCTCTGCAACTCTGACCTTCTGGGAGTCTGATCTGGTAGTTCAGGTCCTAGGCTGGTGAGAGAAGCCAGAGGCTCTGGTGAGGGAAGTGGGTAGACTATGGCTGTACTTCTGTGGCAATGCAGGGAGGAAGCGGGTCTCATGGCAGAGCTGTGAGACCCGGCGTCAGCACAGGAAGTGCTGCGGACACACATGGCACCTGCCTTTGCACCTGGGAAGCACAGACCTTTGGCCGCAGCAGCCTGGGAACTGGGAGCAGCACCTGCCTGCCCGGGGGCCAGACTCGTGCCTTTTCTCTTTTTCTGCCAGGCTGCTCAGGTTTGTCCTCAGTGGGTAAGAGCTGCGGGTGGCCGACTTATGGCCACCCTGACCTCCCACGTTAACATAGTTCTCGCTGCGCAGATCCAGGGATACTCCAAGGCAAAAACTGAAAATAGGTTATAAGCTGCTCAGGGAGAGGAACGCATCCAGTCATCCAATCAGCTCAGCAAGTGGCGGTGAATCTCCTTGAAAGAAGAAACCTATCTTGTGCCCCTTTTATTGGCTAGCTTAGGCCAAAGTTTGTCCCTCTGCCCCAGTCTTCCCTGTTGGAATCTGGGCATAAGAACAGTGACTTCAGCGGCACAGCTCGCCCAATATCCTCATCTCGATGCTCCACATGGGGGAGAAAGCCGAGGGCTCCAGCTGCCCACAGACTAGAACTATCTAGTGTCTTCCTTCTGTCCTGCTGCCCACCCCGGTCCTTCTCCGATCACCATTCATCTTCACCTGCTGCAGGGCCCAGCCTCACCCCACATAAGCAAAGCTGCCAGCAGGGTCCTTTGTGGTGCTGCTCCCGTGTGGCACTGCCTTGGGGCCCCACCATGGGGCAACAGATGGACCTATGGTCTCTACAGAACAATGGTGGGGGAGGGGCCCTGGCATCGCCCGCCCCAAACAGGAAGCGCTGCATGAGCTTCAAAGAACTGGCAGGGCCAAGGGGCTCAGTGGCTGGAGCTGGTGCCAGGACTGGCGGCTGCCTGAAGAGATGCCTGCCAGCCTCAGGATGCCCAGCCTGGCAGTGGGGGTGGGGTGGGGCTGCGGAGGCAAGGGCAGTTGCGTTGGGGCAGAGGAGGCCTTGCACCCTCAGCCAGCTGCCATTGACCTGGGAGCAGGCTGAGGGGAGGGACTCAATCATAGGCCGTTTCCCAGCTCTGCAGCCACTCGCCAGCGGGGCTGCAGGTTCTTTCCCAGGTCACAGTGGATCTGGCCCTCCAGCAAATAACCGTGAGGGGCAGGGCTGGCACCAAGCCTGCCGCCCACTCCCTGCCTCCTGCTCCCAGCTGCTCTGCTCAGAGCCTTTTCCTCTCCACTTCCTGTTCACACAGGGGGGGCGGGAAGTGGAGGGAGGAAGTTGGGGGGAGGCGTGTAGGGGGGACCCATTGAATAAAAGGAATTAACCGTTTCCCTCCTCTGACCTCTGGGAATTTCCGCCTGTGAAAGTGTCTCGAAGAATCTGCAGAGCTGAGGGAGTGTGGAGGTGTGCCCCCTCTTGGCCCCCTCCCCCCAGTTGTTGGTGGGGCCAGATAACTCCCTGTGGGCCCCCTAACCTTTTGTTTCCCTGGCGCCAGGGGGGGCAGCGCCCAGGGCAGCCGGGAGCCTGGTGGCCTTGGAGCCCCCTCCCAACCAGCGGGGTTGGTGCCCATCCAACAGTCAACCCAGTCCTGTGGGGAGGGGCAGGTACTGCAGGAATTGGAGGTTCTGGGAGAATGAGCTCACGTCCAGGCTAACCAGGCTCCGTGCCCTCCCTGCCAGGGATATTGCCCTTGGCCAGCCTGCCTCAGGGTCAGGGCGGGGAGGGCTGGCAGCCAGGGACTTGGACAGTGGTGCTACTCTGCTGGGGCTACTCTGGCACACACTCAGAAGGCCGCTCCCCCAGAAGCTGTGGAAGGGAGCCTGTGGGCTCAGGAAGCCAGCAGACAGCGCTCCCTAGTGCCCACTGTCCACGGGCTGAGTGGCCCCCCAGGGCCCTCTCAAGGGCGGGCCTCAGGAAGCACCTGCTCCCCAGGACCAGTGGCCGCCCTGTGTCTCCCCCAGGTGGCTTCCTTGTTTACAGGCCTCCTGCCCTGATCCCAGCGTCACTGCCTGTGGGCCACTCCTCCTATTTCCAGTGACCGCTCCAGGAGCAGCTCATTCATCTTGGCCCCTGCCCGCTGCAGTTGCTCCCCCACGCCACTCCCTCTTGACCCTCCCTCAGGCTTAGGGCCAAGGTCCTCAGAGCCTTCTCTCTCCCCTCCATTCCAGACCTTGCTTGGCTTCCAGGGATCTAAGAGCGGAGACTTCCCGTTGCCCTGACTCAACGGAACACTATTATATCAGTGCCAGGGAAGCCAGGGGCCTTTTTCCAGGAAAGGGGAAGCAGCCTAGGACCAGATGGGCAGGCTTAAGAGAGGACAGAAGGGGCAGGGGCATCTCGGGCTGTCTTAGCCAAGTCCTCTGGGAGGAGAAAGATATAGGACAGTGTTTGTTTAACTAACATGTATCAGGGACCCATTATGTGCCAAGACAGAAGCCCCAAGCTGTTCTAAGTAACAAGTGACACTGCCAGTGACAGGCCAATGTTCTCTCTCTGGGACTGTGTGGGGGAACAGGGCCCTTGGGCCCTTCGCTGGGCCACCTAAATCTGAGAGGACTCGGGCAACATGGGAAGAAGGGACCGGGAGAGCTCTCCCTATCTTCCTAAACAGTGGGAAGCGAGTAGGGTTAGGGTGCTCAATCTACCCCCACAGGACCCCATCCTCCCACTTTCCACTCTGGGCTTCTGGGGAAAGATGGAAAAATCTGAGGTTCATCAAAGATAGGTAGCTGCCAGCTTCTGTTGGCAGAGGCCTTGAAGAGACCCCGTGGTTCCAGTGACTGGGGAATTCAGCAGCTCACAATTTCACAGGGACCACTGGAGAGAAAAGTCCTGGAGGAGGATGAGGCTGCGGGGAGCAGGGATCCTGCGGTGGTTGGCCAGGTGGCCTGACCCCAGCCTTATTCCAGGAACAGTCATTATTTTGTTTCAGTCTGGACAGCTGATACACCACACCCACACAGCAGGTTGGTGGACTGTGAACAGAGCAAAGGGTGTCTACAGAGCAAAGGGTGCCCAGCTGATGTCACAGGTAGGCCCCAGGCCACAACTCCCTAAGGCTTAGCTTCTGGTATAACTAAAAAAACCAAAGAAGTATAATCTGGAGGGAGGGGTAGGCCACAGCCATTAGATGCCATGGCAGTGGCAGTCTCCCTGCCATGTTGGATCCCAGCATTACAGTTAAATGGCAGACAGTAGACAGGCAATATCAGAGTAAGATGGAAGCTGGGAATGCAGGGATCCGGGTTGGCAAACAGAGTGATAAGCAAAATCTAGCATATGTAAAGGCTATTGGAGGGAGAAGAGTGAGGGGCTGATATTCACGGCTAGGTAATAGCAGTGCCAGAAAATTCTTGGAACAAATAAGAGAAGACGGAAGAAGCACTGGTGCAATAAACGACTTGAGGATTGAGGAGTGCGTGTTCCAGCAGCCTGAGTGTGAGGATTGTGCGGGGCGCAGCACCACCTGCTGGCCAAAAGGAAGAACAGTCTCTTCTTTATGACAGGAGAGCAGCCTTGGCTTACCAACTGAGGCCTGGAGTCACAGAGGAGAGAAGGGAGGGACAAGGAGGAGAACAGAAAAAGGTGTGACCATTTTGCGTGACCCCCAAGTGAAGGAGTAAGGGCCAAAACTTCAAAGTAGGTCCCTGACAGTCTCCCTCTGGCACCCCAGCCCCTCCTGAAGGAGGAGATCCTGGAGATGACTACACACCACTCAGCCCTGCAGCCAACACACCATCAGTTCCAGAGCCACCAGGGCAGTGCAGTTTAATGCTCTCTACTCCCACTGTCATCCATGAGGCCCTCTTCCCCAGTATCCCTCACACAACCACCATCAGTACCCTCATACCCCAGACTTGCAGGGGCTACCTCTTCGATTCTAGGACCAAAGGCAGACAGAAGGGAGCCAGAGTGAAAAGGAACAATGAGATTCTCATTCTAGAAGATAAAGTGGATATATGTTGGGAGTGGAAGGAAAAAGGAGCTGTTAGATAGAGGACTGGTATGGGGTTGGATTTCTCACTTTTCAAGGCTCAGGCCCTTACTGGGGGGCAGGCTGACGGGCTGGTGTGACAGCAATTCTAAGGCAGGTGTGAAGCACAGCACAGGCAGCTGGCAAATGCACTCACAGCAGACACTTCATGGGCGACAGCTGTAATTCCACTGTCCCCACACAGCCACGTTCAGCAGTCTCCAGATGACTGTCCACACACTACAGTACAGCCTTAATAAGTGGGGGCAAGTAGCTGCCCCCCATTACCAGCCCACGAGTCAGGCACAACACCTTTCTACAGCCAACTGAGGTGCTCCTCCTCATAGCGCTGGGGGTCGATGAAGGGCCGGTCAATAGAGCGGATCATCAGTTCCCCACAGTACACGCACTCAGCAGCTACCAGTTCATCCAGGTCAGCTTTGAGCTGCTCCCGGCTGGGACCCCCAGGGGCAGCCCCTCCCTCAGCCTCTTTGGCCCGGGAAGAGCCCTTAGTGGGAGGTGGAGCAGCCCCCAGCTTTCGCTGTAGCTCCTCAAGCCGGGCCTGCTTGTACGCAGGCAGGCCGGGCCTCACGGCCTGCAGCAAACAGTCAGCATGGAACATGTGGCCACAGAGGAAAAGGTAAAAAGGACGATTGAGCAGGGGGAAATCGCAGGTGGCACATTTGTCCTGGGGCTCCACAGTGCCGTAGCGACCGCGCAGCTCCTGCAGGTCTCGCCGGATGCGCTGGGCACTGGCTGTGGCCTCTTCCATCTCTCGCTGTAGCTCCTGGATGTGGTGGTTGTAGGCTTTAAGGGAACTGCAGATAGCCTCCTTGAAGTGGTCAATGGTGACGAAGTCAGGAAAGAAGGGGAGCACATCCTCAATCTTGAGCAGGGGGCAGCTGGCCAGGCAGGCCATGGCTGTCTGCACATCTTCCTCCTCCTGCACCACATGCCGTGCGATCTTCAGCCACAGCTTCTTGCGCAGTTCCTCATCTTCCTCGGGCAGGTCTGCACATTGTTTGGCCAGGTCCACGTCTACCTGTGGGGAGACTATAAGGGTTAGAGTGATGCCCTCCCCCCATCTAGCACAGGGATGGTGGAGAAGTAGATGCCCAGGGAGAACCTGGGCCTGAGGTGTGAAGCAGGGTAGTCGTGGTGGCCAGTGAGGCAGGGCTTCTGGGGGTCACTTGGGAACCTGTCTTAGAGATGGGACTGGCCCCGCCACAGCCACATAAAAGCTACTTATGGGGGTGGGGCTTCCACTTCAGTGAACCTAAAAGTCACCTGGGGAACATATTCAAAGCACAGATTTTGCGGCCCTGCCTTCACATTCTGATTCAATTAAAGCCATGCGTCAGAAATTTGTATCTTAAACAGTAGGCCATGTGATCCTAAAGCAGGTGACAATTCTGACTGAAGAAACTCAGGACCTTTCCCCTCTGCAGCTAGTGACCATAATACAATGGCTAACATCTGCTCTTGCCTGTGTGCCAGCACTGTTTTGTGTGCTTTTTATGCACAGACTTAATCCCATGAGGCAAGGACTATTACTCCCAATTGGCAGCTGAATAATCTAAGGCACACAGAGGTTCAAAAAGTAACCCAAGGCCCTCCCTCATGGCACCGGGGGTTAAGTCTCAGCACGATGAAGCTGTCTGCAGCAACTGCAGCATGAGTTCAATCCCCAGCCAGGGAGCTGACCCACATGGCACAGCAGACCTGCTCGCTGCTCCCCTCAGCCGTGTATTTTCAGTCGATCTGCCTGTTCTGCTCCTCACTCTGTCTCTGGTAAATCCTCTCACCCCCACACCTCTGGCCTGTACCCCTGTTCTTGTATGTATAAAAAAATCTTTAGAAAGAAAAAAAGTAACCCAAGGTCACACAGCTTAGTAAGTGACAGACCCAGAACTCAAACCAACTTCAGAATCTGTGGTCTTAACCTGTGCACTCCTGTGCCTCTCTGCAAGGGAGGCAGAACTTTTTTTTTTTTTTTAAGATTTATTTATTTATTTGTGCATACAGAACTGGGGTACAGGCCAGAGGTTCAGGGGCGGTGAGAGGCTTCACCAGAGACAGAGTGGGGAGCAGAATAGGCAGATAAACGAAGTACACTGCTGAGGGAAGCAGCGGGCGGGTCAGGAGAGGTCTGACTCGCCATGTGGTCTCCTCCGGGGCAGGAGGCAGGCGGGAATCGAACTCATGCGGAAGTGGCTTCAGATTCTCAGTGCTGTGCTTTAACCCGCTGCGCCACCAGGGAGGGCCGGGAGGCAGAACTTTTTAATCCCCGACCCCAACCCTTTACCATCTGAAACTAGCTCCCAGATCTCTCTTCTGGATGGGGTCAAAATTCTTCAGCTTACCTGCAGGGCCAGATCCACAGCCTCCTCATACAGCTCCAGAACTTTGTAGACGTGGACACAGGCACGGTGGTGGCCATGCTCAGCACAGAGCCGAAGTGCATACTTGAGGTCGTAATGCACACGGTGTGGGCTGGCTCCGGCCTGTTCGAGATAGGCCAGCAGAGAGGCAGGTTGGCCGCGGGCATACAGCGACAGCAGGTAGTTGTGAATGGCCTGCTCAGTCTCACCCAGCACATTCACGCAGAACTCCATGTAGCGTATGGCCTGGCTGACTTGTTGGGCCTCACCACCTTGGCTGTAGTTCACCAGGGCAGGGATGAGCTGCCGGGCATCCAGCCTGCTGCCCAACTCAATCCAGGCATCCACTAACTGGCAGGGGATGTGGCGGATGAGGATGGGTGAAAATTTGTAGAAGAGCTGGGGGTCACGATGGCGGGCAAGCACAGCCAGGGCCTCCTCGTAAGCCTCATGCTGGCAGTGGTAAGCCACCACTCGCTCATAGTCCTGCATGATCACAGCAAAGTACACCATGTGTTCTGAGTCCCCATGGCTGGCCAGCAGCTCGTGGATGGAGGCCCGGCTGGCAAAGAGCCACTCCTTGTGGCGAGGGCTGCTGAGGAAGTCCCGGAAGCGCTCCCGTGTCTCCCGGTAGAGGGTCAGGGCCTCTGGATCACCCTGCAGAGCCCCAAGTCGGCTCAAGTAGAGCTCTGTCAGCCAGGTAGTAAGCAGTGTGGCCTGCGTACGCTCAGCCGGCTTCAAACCGCCTAGTTTACGCTGTAAAAATTCAGCCAGTGCCTCTTCCTGTCGGGCCTCCAAGAACTTGAGAGCAATCTCCTCAAAGTAGCTTTGGGTCAGGGCATAGCAGCGGGCGCTCTCCAGGTAACGACGCTGGCGAAAGCAGAAATCGGCCTCTCGAGACAGCACTGTGTCCAGGCAGTCAGGCCGCTCTCGACAATACTCTTTGGCCAGGTCAAAACGGTTCATGTCCAAGTAAGTGCGCCAAACATCTCGGGACTCCCGCTGAACATGGTAGCGAAAGACAGCCCGCTCGGTGTAGGCCCACAGGTGGCCCGTGGAGGAGTCCTTTACCATGTGTTTCAGTGGCCCAAATTTCTCTAGGAAGTGATCCCGCAGCACCACCTGCCCTGTCAGCGTACACACGGCCTCCACCCGGTCTGCCAGCAGCAGCAGGAAGTGGAACTGGGTCAGGACGATGGCCAGGGGTGGGCTGGCTCCTGGACCTACCCCCTCTGGATATTCCCAGACTCGTTCTTCACTCAGCAGGGAGTCAGGACGCCCACAGTCCAATGAACCATACAACACTCCATCCCCCATCATCCAGGCAAAAGCCCGAGGTGCAGAGCGCAACTTGGGGGTATAGAAGGCCAACTCACTGTAGCCCAGACTGCTGGGGAACTCACGGAATGGGGGTGGGTGGTCAGCATAGGCAGCAAAGAGCCCCGAGAAGCCCTGGCTCTCAGCCCCCTCTGCTGTTCGGCCTATAAATTGGAAGAGGCGCTGGCGAGTGGTAGCAATAACAAAGCCACGGCCATCCGGGCCCCGCTCCGCCTCCAGAGAGCACACGGGTGCTGGACCTCCTTCTTCATTTAGCACATACAGCGGGCGGAAGTAGAGATCCGGAGCAGGGCCAAAAAGTCCACCCTCGTTGGCTGAGAGTTCTGCTTCAAAGATCTGGCCTTGGGCAGTGCCAACCAAGATGGGGCCTGTGCTGCTTTCAGTGCCCAGTGACTTGTTCCAACCCACACTCTCCACCAGCTGCCCCTTCCAGCGTGTCAGTGGCCGAACCTTCTGTCCATTACGGTTCACATAGAGGACCTCAGTGCTGCTCAGAGCAATCAGCAGGTGAGAGCCTGGAGTGGGGGAGAACATGCCATTTTCTCAGCCTCTTCCTTGTCCCCACCACCCTCGACCCCACAAATCCGGATGGAACCCCAGCTTACCAGTATGGTCAAGGAACATCTTGTGAACTCTGGCGTCATCTTTGCGTCCCAGCTCCATGTGGTTGGGTTCATTTGCTTTACCCAGGTCAATGCTGTGGAGACAAACGTCATAGCATCCTCTAGATGTCGCAGATTTCTTTATAATCTAATGAAAGCCACAGCTTTTCTTCCCTGAAATCTATATATATTCATACAGTTCTGAAACCCCCAGGAGGCTCTGAAACACACACAAGGACCTGCTTAAAACTCTCATTTCTGAGAATTCCCCCACCTCATTTTGAGAAGTCACTAAGCAGAAGTATTTTGTCTCTGCTCCACAAATCTCCAACATATCTGGGAAGTCAGATGGGAGTACCCCAGATTACCGGGATAAGAAAGAAATAGTAGCGAATGTTTACTGACTATTTTCTATCAAGTACCATATCAAGAGTTTTTTTTTTTTTAAGATTTTTAAAATTTTATTTTTGGATATAAGAACTGGGGTACAGGCCAGAAGTGCAGGGTGTGTGAGGACCCATCAGAGACAGAGCAGGGAGCAGAACAGGCAGATGTACTGAAACACACTGCTAAGAGGAGCAGAGGGAGAGACAGGGGAGGACTGCCACTCCATGTGGGTCAGCTCCTGGCCGGGATTGAATTTGTGCTGCAGTTGCAGTGGCTGCGGAGAGCATCACTGTGTTGAGTTTTAACCCAGTGCATGACCAAGGAGGGCCCCATATCAAGAGTTCAATAGTCTCTCAACCAATCTTCACAATGACCTTCAGGATTGCTACTGTTTAAATTGTGTGTTCTTTATTAAATTATTTTTATGCTCACTTTAAATAAAGAGTCAGTGCAAAATGGCATAAAAAGTCAAAGCCAAAAAATATCCTGTTATTCCTAACAAAAACACTTATATTAAGATCTTTCTCAACCTTCATTCGAATAGGGTTGTTTTGTCACTGTTTTTACTGTTTTGCTATATGCCTTCAGATTGTATGTGTGATGGCACATATTAAATCATAACTTGCTTTCTCAGTGATTTTTCATGCACATTCTACTAAGTCAACAGATACAGCTCTAATGCATTGTTCTAATAATTGCATAATAGCCCTTTTTATGGTCTTATTGGGGTCCAATCAGACTTGCTTTGTGCCATAGTGGAGGACACTGGAAGTGAGCCTCTTCTGAAGCCTGAGCATATTCATAGCTGTGGTCTCAGCACTGAAAGGAAAGCTGAACCATAATTTAATCATAATTTTCCTGTTGATGGGCATTCAGCTTGAGTTCAGTTTTTCCTACCACGATGCTATAATCAATATCCTTGCATCTATACCTGTGAACTGGTACTCTTCTTTCTATAGTTTGAATTCCTCAAAGTGGGGTTATAGGACAAAATACAAGACATTTTAAAAATATTTTAAAAGACAGTGCCAGGGCCCTCCCTGGTGGTGCAGCGGTTGGAGCACAGCACTGAGAATCTAAAGCCGCTTCCGCATGGTTCGATTCCCGCCTGCCCTGGAGGTCACGACATGGTATGGCGGACCTCTCCTGACCCACCCGCTGCTCCCCTCAGCAGTGTGCTTCCTCGATCTGCCTGTTCTGTTCCCCACTCTGTCTCTGGTGAAGCCTCTCACCACCCCTGAGCCTCTGGTCTGTACCCCAGGTCTGTATGCACAAATAAATAAATCTTTAAAAAAAAAAAAAGACAGTGCCAGATTATTTTTCCAAAGGATGGCTGCAATACACTCTCATCAGCAAAGGATGAAAGTCCATTTCTGTGTATCACCATATATAGTTTTTAATTTTTGTTTCCCTGATGCTTTTGCCTCTCTTTTCTATTCAACTGTCTCTTCCTTAATTTGAAAGGGGTTTTTTTTTTTCCTTCATTTTTTTAAAGAACAGGGATGTAAATCCTTAGTTGTAAAAACAAACAAACAAACAAAAAAAACAACTCACTATTTCCCCACCATTTTGTGTCTTAACTTGATTCATCGTTTGTTTTTATTTTGTAATAATAGCAGTTACTATCTAGTCAAATATACCTACCTCTACTTGCAGTTTCTGGATTGCCTAACTGAAAAAGGTTTCCTTTTAGCCCAATATCATAGAAATTTAACAAATAAATATTCTCTTAATATTTACATCACCTATTTATATTTAAATAATTCTTGTACCTGGAACTCATGTTCGTGATACAGCAATTTTCACTTGGTGTTATACCAGTTGGCAATTTTGGATAAATAATTTACTGACACATTTGTCATATATTATTCCCATTTACTGATTTATTTTCAGTTGTATTGAGATATAATATCACTTCCATTTTGGGCCATCCCTGGTGATGCAAAGGGTTAAAGCACATCACCATGAAGCCATTTGCAGCCACTGCAGCACAAGTTAGGTTCCCAGCCAGAGAGGTGACCCAAATGGCGTGACAGACTTCTCCTGACCCACCTGCTGCTCCGCTCAGCAGTATATTTCAGTATATCTGCTTGTTATGCTCCCCACCCTGTCTCTGGTGAAACCTCTTACCACCCTCTCCCAAATCTCTGGCTTATACTCTAGTTCTTGTAAGTATAAATAAATAAATCTTTAAAAAAATATTGCTTCTAGTTATAGCAAACTTAAGGACCCAAGGCAGTTGCACTGAGCTATATTACTAACTTATGACTTGAAATTTTCTTTAATTGATGAAGGGACACATTTAGAGAGAATGTGTG